ATATATAATTTCTCATTACTAAAATAAACTTCCAAGAAGATTGTGGTTTTGAATCTGCTATATCACAGGCATTCAGTGGATGTTTGAAGCTAATCACTGACATGCTAACTCCTCTCCTACATCACCAGACTGAAAAACTTCCTCTAAAATATCATCTTCAGAGGCTCCTCTTCCCTTAGACTGCTTAGCCAGGCAACCAGGCCCTCCATTACTCAGAGTCTGGAACCAAGTCTCTAACCTTCCCTTACCCCAAGCCACATATATCCTTGTATCCACTTTGGGTTTTGACTGTTACCAAAATATGCTTGGGAATTTTTCTTATCTACATCTCTTTTCAAAGATTCCTTCCCTCCCAATACCTTTCTTCTGCCTTTCAGGGTCCAATTCATACCAGGCATCCCTGAGAACCCTTCTCACAATATTCCTGGCATGAGTTTGACACCCAGCACTTCCTGTGTTCTCATAGCATCTCACTACACCCTGCTGCATACTATCCCTGATGATCAAAATATCTTCCCTACTGCACTGGAAACTCTTGGAGAGCAGCAATGCATCTATCTCCACATTTCCCATCTTGAACATGAGAGGGGCTTGATTTAAAAAAATAGAATAAAAAGCCCTCAGTGCAGTAAAAACAGTATTTCACTGATAATTCTTTTGCTAATCCCTACCAAGGTGTGATCATGTTTCAGTGTGTTTAGTTCATCCCTTGAAAAATTAGTTGTTCTTGTCTTCTGACATAAATGTTCTAGTTCCAAGCACAGCATTTTGTAGTTCTGCCTGGTCTCCTAAGATCTGACTTTATTACCGGTTTCTAAGAGAGATGAAGGGGAAGAAAGTTCTCTAAAATTGTAGCTTATTCAGTATCTGCAGCTCTTCACTAACTGAGTGACAGAAGTGGAAGAGAAAAAGAACATCTACAAACTTCTTATACAGTGTCAGGCATTTTACACTTGCCATCTCTCTCCAATAAATTCCTTTTTAGACACACACACACACACACACACACACTCATGTAACTCAGTCAAGTGTAAATTAGTTGCAATACAGCTTATCGGTAATCATAAACTCCTGCTTTTGTACTCTATCCAGGTTCTAAACCTTTGTGCTTTTACTTTCTGATTTCTGATGTGAGTACACTCATGCTTCTTCTGCATGTTATCTAGACACACAATGCACACAGTTTTAGTTAAGAATTCTGAGTGGTATTTTGTGGTGTTTACACACACACACACACACACACATACACACACAGAGTTTTAGTTAAGAATTCTGATAGTCTGTGGTGTTTACACACACACACACACACACACACACAAATTATAGATGAATAAAACATATGTGCCAAAAAAGGAAGTCTAGCTTTTACTTTTTGCTCCATTACCTACTATATGACCTTGGATAGATTACTTAATCTCAGTTTCATTTTCGTTATGGTAAAAGAAACTCCAATACCTCCCTCACAGGGTTGCTGTAATGATTAAGTAAGTTAAAATTTCTCAGTAATGTATTTCACAAATACATACTGAGAACCTATTTGGGGCCTTTTGGGGGGGGGTCCTAGCAATACCACATTAACACAGTTTTCTGGCTTCAGAGATTCAGTGATGGTGGTGACAGGTTAGTTCTACACACACACACACACACACACACACACACACCTGCAATGTGAAAAGGGAGTAAGATTAGGCCAAGTTGCATTATGGTAAAGGCTCTCAAGAGTAAATTTTAGCTAAATCTTAAAGAACAAAATGTAAATTAAGATAAAGGGTGTTCCACACACAGGGAACAGCAAGCATATGTGCAGACTGAGACTAGATAATACTGGTTCTAAAACCAAGTGAAGGCCAAACACAAGATAGGGGGGAGGCGCTTCTGGAGAGGTGGTTAGAGGCCAGACCATGGCATGCTCCTACAGGTATGTTCAGGACTAGAATGGTATTCTAAGCACACTGAGAAATCTGGAAGGGTTTTGAGTTAGAAGGTCTTGGGATCTAATTCACAAATTAATAAAATCGCCCCGATTGCTACATGGAGAATAGGAAGCAGCAGGCACAAAGGTTTTGGGTTGAGTGTGAGAGGAGATGACTCTATATTTAGGGAGTGCTGGAATGGGGCTAAGAGAAGTCAATTATCAAGAAAGGCTATGCCTCTAGAAAGAATATCTGGTAAGAATAGGTGCCTTTTATTGAGATGGAGAAGACTAGAAGTATATAGTTTAAAAAGGAGAAAGGATCTTGGGCTCATTTATTAAAATTTTTAAACTTTGATGGCTAAAAAAAATATCTAAGATGAAATTTCAACAGGTACTGTAGACAGAGATGGGTTTTTAAAGGACACTTTTGTACTTCACGGCAAGATAAAAAAAAATTTTTTTAAAGTACTTTTCTTTTGTGTCTGTTGAACTAAAGAACTGCTTGTTGTTAATGTGTGGCAGCCCCGGTAACCTAACTTTACCTCAAGCCAAGAAGGGTCGGCCATTTTAAGGATGTTACTTGAGCTGTCTCTGGTGAGTCTAACTATTCCTGCTCATTAAGTCAGAAGCAACTGGCTGTTCCCTGGCATTGGGCCACCATAGAACGCAAAACAAATCAATAATCAGCAATACACCTGCTTCCAAACTTTTCTAAACAGTGAAGTTAACAAGCACGAAAAATAAATGATCACTTCTGGCAAAGTATCTTAATATGGAGTTAAATTTATGTAAATATAGCAGAATTTTTCTATTTAGGTCCATCTCAAAAGGTGCCGCTTCCCCAGGGTACATTGCCAAATCCGAGTAGGAGAAGGGTAGCGTGAGGCCTGTGACTACTGTGGTCAAGCGAAAGAAAAAACTTTTCTCCATTGTCGTTCACTTATTGAGCTAACAGTAGTACTCTGGGCATTTAATAGAAAACATTAGCTGTTTCTGAACCTGAGTTACACAAAGAACCCTCATCAAAAGCTTAGAAAATGTGTGCACTTGTGCTCCTTTCTGCCCTTTTATGAAATTCCCCACACCAGCAGCATATTTTGAGAGTGAGGCGCTCAGAGACTGGATTGTCCCAAACAGAAGAGCGCTATCTAAGCAACGTGCTGAAAGAACTGCCAGGAAGAAGTACCTGGGGCTGGGGTGAGGGTTCCCTACGCACCGCCTGGCCTGGGAACCTGGCACCGCCCCCTCCCCTCTCCAAAGCCACATTTACCCCCTACAGCACCCTCAAGGTGCTCTCCACGACCTCCGGTCGCGAAAGGAGCGCCTGGCAGGCCTCCAGCAGCAAGGCGGAGCGTGGCCACAGGCTCGCCCGCCCGACAGAGGGGCACACCCGGCAGCGCGCGAGCCCCGCGGCCGGGCCCTCCAGGCGGCCCCCGAGCCGCGCGGGGCAGGTCCTGCGGTCCGGCGCTGCCCCGCGCTCGGTCGCCCCCGGCTTCCTAGCCGCGCCGCCCCCTCCCGCTCCCGCCTCCGCCTCGCCGGTACACGACAGCCAGAGCCCGCCCAGGCGGCCCGCAGCCCTGTCCCCAAGGGCCAGGCGCCCACTTGGGGTCCGAGCCTCGCCGCCTCACCTTCGCCGCCGCTGCCGCTTGCCTCGCCGCCCTGGGACCGAAAGTGAAAGTGAAGCCGGGCAGCGGCGGCGAGGGCGCGGCGGCCCGAACCCAGCGGCAGGCACTGGGCAGCCTGGGCCCCAGCGGCAGCAGCCCAGTGAGCTCGGAGTGCGGCCTGGGGACCCGAACCTGCGACCTGGCCAGCGCGGGTCCGAGACCCGAATTTAGGGATTAGTGCTGCAAGCCCAGGGCTGGGATGTGAACGGATGCTGGGAGCTGACACAAGTGATGCGGCAGGAAGGAGCATCCCGCCAGAACAGAACGCTGGAGTCTCTTCTCCACGTGGGTCTTTGGAGGAGTTTGGTTTGGTTTTTTAACTTCACAAACAGAGGAGACAATTGCAGGGTGCGAGCCTCTTGTTCCTGTAAGGGATCGGTGCTGCCTTGGGCAAGCCGGGAGGGACACCCATTGGATGTAGAGAGTGTTCATCATTTCGTCTCTGCAAATGGGTTGCAAGCTCCTGGCCCAACCAAAAGAAAACAACCCAGAAGTCCTTGTTTGTAAAATTGTGAGGCCCATGTGGTTTTCCACGCAATGTGGGTACATCAGGAGAAGCTGCTTTAGAGGAGGATTCCAGATGCCCCCTCAGATCTTCCCTAACCCTAGCAAGGGACACTGTACCCGTAAGAATTGCCTGATTCCCCCATTAAAATGCTCAGGTTTTTTTTTTTTTTTTTTTTTAAAGAACACATTTTTTTCCACTCGTCTTAGAACACTAAAACTACACGAAGTGTCCCAAAAGCCCAGCTTTACACAAAAATAAGAAAACACAACAAATGTCTGAATTCACCAAAGACTGATTGGTCAATGCATCCTGGTCCCTATCCAGGAGTTTTTTTCAGAGTTGCTTCTCAGCCTCTTTCCCACAGGGAACTTGGGCCTCCATCTCACTGGAAGAGTATTTCTCAGCATCGTTTTCAATCTTGTGCCTCTTTTTGAAAAACATGTCCAGCCAGAACCATTTTGGAATATAAAAACATTCTGTCTCAGATTGAAATAGGGAGAGATTAAGGGATGCAGCTTATTAAAATTCAGTAAGATTATGAGGACTTTAGGATCTGGCAATTTCTATGATCAGAACATGGTGGTGAGCATTGTTGGATAGCTCTAGCCTCTAACTCCCCCAGGCATCCCTGATTACCTGAAACTTTTTGTTCATAACCCATGCAGTGTTTTACTTTTTTTCTTTGTTTTTATATTTTTATATGATGGCTTCTCTTTTATTTCTAATAAAATTTAAGATGTCAATCAATCTATTCTCCTTCAGTCCTTTCCTTCCTCTACCCATTCTGTCTTTGAAGGCCTTGTGCATGCTAGACAAGTCTCCATTCGGCTATACCCCCAACCACAAAGATACTTCTTTAAGATCAGGAAGGCAGAAACAAATAAACATAGAGACCAGATAGAGGCTGATAGAGAAGACAACCGAAAAGACAGGAAGAAGTGGGTGCCTTTATGTGAACTTGAGCAGAAAAGAGCTGGTCAGTGGGTAAGGGGAGAGCTAACAGTGCTGCACACTGACTCTAGCTCAGCGTTACACTCAGTTACATGCATGGTGATTTCTTCTCGAGAGTCCTAGTGCACTACAAATAGTAATAAAAGAGTGGATTTGGCAGCATTCAGTTCTAGATTCAAAACACTAACTGGGATATTGGAAAAGCTGACCTTAGAGTGGAGACTTTAAATTTTGAGGAATCTAGTTACAGAGTCTGTGAAATAAAAGCTTAGAAAAGTTAAGCTTCTACCAAGCTTAGAAAAGGTTAGAGGGAAAAGAAGATAGAAAGGGCACCTGAGTATGTGACTTAACATTAGTTACTGTGCTGAATTCTATGTGTGTGTGTGTGTGTGTGTGTGTGTGTGTGTGTGTTAAACTTTCCAGTCAACCCTATAATGTAGGTGCTAGATTTCAGACTTGAAAAGCAAAAGATTGACAGCTTTCTCAAACTCAGAGAGAAAATACTGAAATCTATTTGGCCTATATGTAGGTCTATTTGATTCAGAGTCCCTGTTTTAACCTCCAAATCAGTTTCCTTAGCTAGTTGTTATTCATTCCTCCTTCGCTCCACCCCCACCTCACTGGAAGCATCTAACTTTGTTTCTACAGCCACAGCCTATGAATGACCCGTCCTGAAAAACCTGGTCTCCAGATTTCATTCCAGGGTATAGTGTTAAATTTTGCTGTTGTAAAGGTAGAATGCTCAGCTTAAGCACACAGAGCTGTTTCTCACTTGTGCTAAACAGCCATTACTAGGCAAGGCCCTCCACCCTGAACAGCCACCAAGGACTTGAGGGCAGAGGCATCCTCCTCACAAGCTTTGTCCTCCTAAATCCCAATGACAAGAAAGCCCAGTAAATTATGCATCTTTTTAAAAACCACTTCAGTACTGAATAACATGCATCACTGCCTGCCACGTTTTGTTGGCCAGAACAAGGAGTGGTTGATGAACTCTTAATACTGGCTCTCTATCATAGAGTAGGGGGCGGAGGGCAGCTGACTGCCCCTAGTCCAGGTGTATGCTGGAGAAGGTGGCAGAACTGCCTAGGGTTGAGCTGTAGGAACAGGTACAGATTTGAGGTATTTCAGTGATTAACTAGTTTTATTTTTTTTCAAATATTAGACTCTAAACATGAACAAGTGGAGTTCAGTTTCTAATTGATTGAGTCACTTCTGCCTTAGCTAATTCTTAGTCAATTAATGCCAGCATTTGGCTCATTGCTTCTGTTTGATTACTGAAGTTGCTGACATTTTCATCATATTTTTACTATCATTTTTTATATAAAAATCTTACCCAGAGTCAGGAGTTAAAGAACAGTTAGAGAAGCATGGTTGCCCTGGTTAACGGGGACAGGTCTGCCCATGCATTTCTTGCCTCCTGTTGCTGATGCCTCCTGCTGCAGAATTCAAATTTTAAAATGCTAATTTGAAAAGCAGTAGTGATAGCCTTGTAATACCTAATGAAAGGCACAGAGGAATGCCACATAGTGATGGTCGGATTAAGTCTTTTAATTAGTAATATCTGTGGGTGAGAGTCAGCTCACATCCAAAAGAACACTCCAGGAGAAGCAGAGCAGGGTTTATAAAGCTTAAAATCACAATTGCATCATGCTAGGGGCAAATCCAATAACGAGTTACATCAGATTACCATAGTTACACTAGACCAGGGACAGGTCAGTTGACAAAGAGGTTTTCAGTTAACAAAAAGTTTCTGAGTTTTGGTTAGGAAAAACAATATTTTCAGAATTGCAGAAACAGTGGACTTTTGGAGCTGCAGGTGTAGCTAGATGAGAACAGTCTACCTGGCCAGTTGTAAATTTCCCAGCATTGTAAAAACAATGTACTCCCAAATGCATAGGCCCATTCTGGCTCCAGTTAGTAAGAGCAGAGGGAGTGATGGGGCAGAAACATGAGGTGAGCAAAAGTTAGCTAGAATAATATGGAGTCTGTTTTGCCATTTCAGTCCTTTCTTGATAGTCTTTGATAAATGGATGACATTTTTATGAGCCAGGTTGAAAGTCTAAACAAAATCTATACCACTATATTTATAATCAGAAAAAAGAAGGTATAGATTCCAGATTTAAAAAAAAAAAAAAAAAAAAGGACCATTCCAAAGAAGACCACTGATAGCAAGTAGTAAATTCCTCTAGATGTTGCAGTTTGAAAGTGATCACATGCTCTCTAAGTCACTGGACCCTCACTGTGTATTTGTACAAGGAACTTGAAAGAACGTTTTCCTAGAATGAAGAAATTGGCTATTTGGAATCACACATACCTAGCAGGGGTACCACATTCAAGAGCTGGCTTTACAGTGCAGCCAATTCAAAGAAAAGCATGCAGTGTTACTAAGCCACATGACAGTTACAGGTGAATATAGAAGCAGCCTGCCTCTTAGCATTAGTTTTAAGGCTGGGCCCCAACTCTGAGAACCACCTTTTCTTTTAGATGTCATGCAGAACTGTGCTCCCAAGCCAGGCTTCACTCATTCTTTTATTGAACCAGTATAAATTGGGGAAGTAAAGCTAGGATCCACCCTTATCAGAGAATCTTGCTCCTTGATCCCTAGGTCTAGAATATCTTTCATACACAGTTTCAGACAGATTTTCCCAACTATTACCACTGTTTGCAATGAAAATGTCACTGATTCCAGTGCTTTGATATGTTAATCAAGCATAAGGCCATTCTTTCAATATCTTGGGTAGAGGGCAGTTGGAATGCTAGGTCACTAGAGCACATGGTTTACATTATAAACAGTAACTTTTTGGTTGCAATATTAAGTAAAAGTCTTTAGGCTAGATTATGTCTATATTGAAAAGTCATTCCTACAAAAGCAGAGCTGGCAGAAAGAGCAAGTGAGTTCTGTGAAGGCCTCGTGATGGCTGATCTTAACTTTGCTGGGATGAAAATTACCTAAGTGATTTGTAAAGGGCAATTTTAAGAGAGAACTAAGGGGGAAAGACTGCTCTGAATGTAGGTGGCAGTATCCCATGGAGGCAGGATAGACTAGAAAGGGAAAGGAAAGAGCCTAAGCAAGATTTTCTGTTTCCTGACTCTGCTCTGTGAAGTGGCACTGAAACCTCTGAAAATGTGAATACAGTAAATCCTTCCTTCAGTTGATTGCTCAGGTCTGGATAGCACACGCTGAGATCCAGCTGTGCTGATTAGGCGGTTCCTTTAGACTTTGCAATCAAGACAGTCTCTCTCTCTCTCTCTCTCTCTCTCTCTCTCTCTCTCTAGTTGGGGCCAGACATTAGAAAGAGTCCAAGACATCTTGACAGAGCACCTCAAGAGAGAATCACTTATTAAGGCACTAAAACTGTTTTTGGGCTTCCAGAACCACTGGGTTCCAGAAAACACTGGATGTTATTGTTATTGGGGAATTGGCCTGCCTTTCTTAGTCTTTTTTTTCTTTTTAATTTCTGTAATATTTTTATTTTGGGGAATTTCATATGTGAGTGATTTGTAAAGCACACCTCTGGGTGCATCTTTGAGGGCAATTTTAAGAGAGAACAAAGGGGAAAGACTGCCCTGAATGTAGGCGGCAATATTCCATTGTCTTTCCGTTATTTCCATCCCTCCCAATCCCCCACCAACCACTCCCATGTCCCCAACTCCCTCAATTTCTTGTCCTCTTATTTGCTTGCTGTTATTATACACACACACACACACACACACACACACACACACACACACACACACGTATATAGTGAACTGAGTCTATTTAGTACCTGTTAATTTAGGGCTGGCCATTTGGAATTAGATAACTGCTTAAGGAACCAGCCCCTGGAGAAAACTGATTCTCCCTCCCTCAGAATCCACTGATTGCTGGTAGCTCTTCATCTTGAGGTATGAACTCAAAAG